CCCTACATCAGAGATTTAGTGCTGAGTTCTAAATGCAGAAATAACCTCAAACCTTTTCACTCATTACAGAGGGTATGAACAAAAATGGCTAAAAAAGGAAAAAAAAGAAAGGAAACGTAAGAAGAAAAACTGGGTATTTAATGCAAGACACAAAGAACATTTTTATCATTAAAAATGCATGAGGAGAAACATCAATATCAGTTCATTACCTTTCCCTCAGAAAAGAAAGTACAAATGTCTCATTTGTACTTTGCTTGTAGTCTAATTTTTACATACAGTGCAATGCTTTTATTGCAACATCAGCTTTGTTTGATCATATGTTTTTGAAGCATTCCTATTTGGAACCTGAAAGGAGCTTCAGTCGCTATCTGCTCAACAACTACTCTGAACTACTCTAGACAAAATTCCCTTTTTTATTCCTGACAAGTGACTTTCTTTTGTGCTTATTCCTGTGCAGCCATCCACTAAAGAAACTCAGTTTTTCAAGAAAAAAGTGACTGGGGAAATAAAATAAAATAAAATAATAGGCTAGTGGACTAGTGTTTATGAAGCATAATTACATTCCAAGGGCTCCATATAAAACCTTGTGGATCAAAACATTAGTTCAGTCATCCAAGTTTGAAGTCCTATAACAAGTATCTGTATGAAGATAATTATAGTGCAGTTTTCAGTTCTGAAAAGGCCTGCAGTACATAATGAATTGCCCTCTTATGGCTTATGGAATGAAGGGAAACATTATTAGTCATGTTTCGTAATATACATATTAGAGCAGGAAAAGTTATCTCCTACTACACCAAAAGGACTGGAAAATGGTTGTCTTCTATGACAGAAAAAGCAGTAGTTTAATAACATACAGTAATGCTAATTTTATAATTTGCTATCCCAATAATTACGCTTTCATAATGGGTGTATCTCTTCAAGAAGCATGACTGGATTTGAATTTCTAATTATAAGGAGTACAAAATAAGTCACACAGACTCTAGGAGGAAATCAAAGCAGTATTAAGTTCTGAAGATGTTGTTAAGATCCAGAAGAAATTTCACTAAGATGGAATCAGGATGCTGTTGTGGTGATCTGTCACTATGTAAAACCCAAGGGAAATTTTATCCAGTAACTAAATCCATATCTTATTTAACATTTTCAAACATTTTAATAGAAAAAACACTTGTAAAATTGCACCCCACCTACACGTTTTCTTACAAACATAACTTAACACTGTGTACTCCTTTGGAAACTCCCTGGACATGAAGTTCAATGTTTTAAACACAATGACTTCAGAACAAATGAAATGGATGTGGGTGGGCAAGTCACCTCCTTTTTGCACTGCCTCACTTCTCCAACATGAAAAAAAAGAACGATACGGCTGAATTCTTTTTGTAAAGCACCTCAAGGTCTACAGATAGGAATCTGACTTCAGAAATTTAATCTCTCTGTTAAATCCAGCTATAAATCCAGGAGACATTAAAGTGCAGTTTTCAAAGAAGGAAAAAAGATCCACAGTAAGCTTTTCTCACCAGATCACTGGACCTTTGTTTAGAAAAGCTGGCCAGTTCTGAGAGCATTTTCATCAGCTCACTAAATGGCTGGTACAGATCAGCCCTCTTCCTCAGGCTGTCCATTCTGTCCCCCATCCGGCAATGTGCTTCACATACTTCTAACTCAAAGCATGTGTGCCACTCATTTTAACTGAAACTATTCTCATGTTTAATGTTCTCCATTGTTAAGTCCTTTCCTGGATCAGGAGCAGAGCTGCTTAAGAAACAACAGTATCAGGCCCACTATGTTGACTGCCAGTGTCTCAGGGGCTAACAAAACAAGAAATTCTATGTCATAAGAAGAGACTGAAATTCTTCTTTTGTGGCCAAGATTATCTATGAGCTGCTATCATCAGTCATTCTTGCACAAACAACTCTTAAATTGCATCTGGATTCCACAGAAGACAACCAACAAGATGGATTATACAAATGGCACTGGAACAGCTTGCGAAAGTGTCTGAGATAACTGGGAAGGTCTGCAATGGTGCATACTGTGTGTATCTTTGGTCACATGTAAAGAGCTGAAAATTATCAACCTATTTGGTCCCTTGGTTAAAAGAATTTTTTTTGGCACTGGTTCAAGCCTAAATGTAGCAACCTCCAGATCTCAGACTAGTATAATTTTCAATCCCTGCACAGATTTGGTTTCAGCTAAGCTGCAGCCTGCTCTTGTAGCAGGGAGAATACACAGAATACGTCTGTAACATGTTCTCTAAGTACAGTCAAATTAAGCTCTTTGGTGTACCACATAATCAGAAATAATTACTGTATACATATTTAAAAGCATATTCTTGTTATGTTCAGCGCATGGAACTCCCACTGACATTAATGGGAACTCCATGCCTGAACGTAAAGGACGCCCATGTGTGTGGGTTTGGGGTTTGTGTGTTTTTCCCCTATTCTTTGAGAGTCACCATAATCTTGTAATGAAGACTTAAGTCTTGGGTCTCAAAGGATCTGGGTTCAATCTGCCACTAGGTTCTTGTGAGATTTCAGGCAAGTTATTTTATTTTTCTGGCCTCTGTTCCCCATATATTAACAAATACAATACTACTTCCTCACCCCACTGCCTTCTCCTTGCCCTCTCTCTCTCTATATCTTGTCTTTCCATTTGAATGCCTGGACTTGGTCTGTAACTTTTCATCTGCTTATTCTCTTGCATGAGCGGCACATTTTATTTAGCTACTGAAAGCACTATCAGAATAGAGACAATAGAAAAAGCCTAGTACAAGTTAAAAACTGTTAACAATCATTTGGCCAATTGTTCATAGATGTCAAAAGAGATTTGCCTCAGTCTTCTAGAAAAAAAATCTGCCCTCATTTGGTGTCTAGAGCCACTATATTTTCAGTGTTTACCCTATTTCTTTTAATCAGTTCTTAGTAATTTTCACAGACACCAGCATAAGAGCCAAGGGAGACAAAATCTGTCAATTTTCAGCTCATTATGTGAAGGCATGGGAGCCAGTAAACACACCTCAACAAAATAAATGAACAGATTTAAAAAAAAAAAAAAAAAATCTATGACAGAACATTGCAGTAAACATAAGTAAAAGACTCTTCCAGAAGAAGTATCATTCGATTTGGACAGAAATAGTTCTGAAAAAAAACTATATTCTAATCTATAGTCCTCTTATTTGGCTTATTTTCACAGGAAATATGACTTGAAGACATCATGATAACAAAAAAAATACACACAGGTATGCTGTGACAGCTATTCGCTACGGTCCTCCAGCAAACACCATTAATGGTATTTATACTTGGAGGGAGAAGGCAGAGATCAGCTTAATATTCATGAAAACAAGAGAACAGTATAGTTAGTCCTACTGGAAAGAATGTCAGACAGCAACCTTGTTATTTGGCTAGCTTAACTCTGAAAAGCAGGATAGAAGCCAGAACAATATACATTTGCAGAGGTTTATTTTGATAATGTGTTTAGTTGTTCAGTTGTTTTAGATATTTTTCCTCCTCAAATGCCAGCATTATTTTTTTAAAGGCTAATCCCAGATATTAAGCAACAACAAGCTTAAAAAGTGGTACAGTACATCTGAAAACAGTAAACTACTGGTGGGACTGTTTCTAGGAGGGAAGGGTCCGTGGAAACTGCTGTTTCAGTTGGCAGGACAGCTCTATTTCATAGAAGAAAAAATGTTCCTGTTATAAAACACTTCTGTTGTTAGCAAACGCTGCACACAAAGGGGCAGCTGTACTTTGCTTACCTCACGTGTGACTCTTCCGTTGTTATCAAAGTCATACAGTGTGAAGGTCCATTCTTGCCTGTTATCTTCCTCTACAGACACATCACATTGCAATTCCTAAGAAACATGCAAAGAGCAGCTGATTACCTCAAGCAAAAGGCCTATTTGCAGAGGACGCTCTCCACAGAAGGAGGCTGGTTGCTTCCTTCCTTCCTCCCGACCTCATGGGAGGAAGCTTTCACAGTTCCCAGAGAGGTCTCTGACCACCACAATGATGGAGTCTCATCAGAGTCATGTGGTAATCCTAACTCCCTCGGGCTAGACTTTGGGGAATCTGCAAGATGCTTTCTATTTCATTGTAGAACACACCAAAATGTACAAGAATACTGCTCACTGAAGCTCTTCAAAAGATTTCCCGTTAAGAAGTGAACAAGAAAACTCCGCTTAAGTCAGGAAGAGACAGGTAACAGAAACAGCCTCACAGAAGGGGCGGTACACCACAGTGCCAGGAGCAGTCATTAATACAAAGTGCACATGTGGCACCAATGCCCACCAGCAAGACCTGTCCTTGACACAGATACTTGATACGCAAAGGCTGTCAGTTAGTGCAGTACAGCATCATGCCGCTACAGCTTCTGAAATGGTCTCTGCCTAGGAATGGGCAGGTATGAACAACAGGGCAGTGATGCCTGGTCCTTTAAACTGTGCTGCTGTTAGAGAGTGTGATCTGTGGAAAGCCTGAAAGAATCAATTTGTTAAAGGGAAAGAAAATACCCAAACCAAACCCAAGAGTTCAGTCGAGAACAAAGGATGCCCTTTGACTGACTCGTCACCTGGGTGCAAATCATTTGCTTTCTATCAAGATCTGTGCAATCAGAATTATTGAGAGCCACAGCAAGGCAAAACAGAAAAGTTACAGTGCACAGTGCAATTAAAATGAAAGTCACCATAGGCAAGTAAAATAAACATCTCTAAATAGCTTCAGCATGATAGAGCTCAAAATACCTGGTTGATCTTCTGACTTGAAACTGATTCCCTACAGCAGTTACTGGTACCCCCTGTCCCCTGCTGAGTTCAAAGGCAATCTTCTCTCAGTTGTAACAAGCCCGGCTGAAAGCTGCCAAGTGCCCCACACTCTACTGTGGAAACACGGTTTCATATTACATAAACATTCCCGGCACCTTTAAAAGCCAACTCACATCCACCTCTGATTTAGACCTCTTGTCTCAACACTTGCATTTCTGATTCTTTTATACCTTTGAAATATTTACAGTCTCTTAGCTCCTAGCTTACATAGCTGGAAAACTTTCACTTTGTAGAACAAGGGAAAAAATATCAATACTTGGTTTCTTGCCATATATTAATAGTTCCCTGTCCCACACTGCCTAACATAACATCTTTATGTGAGGATGTGCTCTGCTTAGCTAAGAGCCATGGCAACGTTCCCTGCATTAGTCATGGTGCCTAGTACCAAGTGCTAACCTTTATGGCATGCCAAGAACTACTTGGGAACAAACACAGCCTTTGCCAGTACAGTGGAGTCCCAGCTACTCTGGCACCAACCATGTTGACAGGTGTCCTCCAACGTTCAAATATCAAGGCACTGTTAATTGCAATTTATCATGCCTTTCCTGTCTGCAAATGTCTGCTACTCAAGGTAGAACATAAAACCTGCCTAGAAAAAGAGTTACTGCTGTGTGAAGAAAAAAAAAAGAAAAATAAAAAGAGGCAGGCAAAGTCACCTCCCCCCAGAAGGCACACAGGCACCTAGCAACACCTGAACTGCCTATAGGAAAGCTTCCTCCTTTTAATCAGCCTTAAAACAGCAAAAATAAACTGCACCAGACTACTAAATCTGCTCTGCACAAGGAAAGTAACACTCCAGTCGTGCTGCAAGGTGGCTGCGTGGTCTTTTAAATAACAATTGAGGTACCCAAAGCTCATTACTGTGACAGGCTGACAGCACTGAAAGGGAGAAGTTTGCCACATCTGCTAGAGTGCAGAAAGATGAAAATCTGTGCTGTTTCTTGCCACTACCAGAGTATCTTCCTCCTCACCAAGAGAGACAACCCTCTAGCTGGATGACAGCAAGTTTCAATACTCATAATTATTAAATCACTCCCTATACAAATAAAACCTGCCAACTACACAGAGCCTCTGGCAGTTTTATGATGTTTTTAAGTCCAGAAGGAAACAGACCATCAGACTCATTGGCCCCCAGGATCCCTTTCCTCCCGCCATGCGATCAGATGGATTCCCCACGTAGCAGGTCAGGGTTGTTCCACTTGGAGGCCCAGACACAGAAGACGGATAGTTAAGGATGCTTTCATAAACACCTTTTACCCTAGGCAGATTTGACCAAGTGCAATAGTCTACAAAAGTCAGTCTGAATATTTGATAATGTGGTCGCTGGCATAATACATTAGCAACAAAAGGGCTATAGAGGAAGGGTTAGCCTGACTGCCTCTTCTTACTACACATTTCAGATTCTAGGGAGGAAGATGGCCATTTGATCCTCTCCAAAACTCCAAAGAGACCTCACTAATCACCTCGTAAGGAGCACCAATAGCAAGACACTGACATGTGCCAATTTTGCTTCCTCCTGTACCTATTACAACCATTGGGAGCTACGCACATGCATCAGAGGATGCCATTTGGTCCACAGGTTATTTTTCTACTATAATTATGTCAGTACAGTGAAACTTTTAAATACAGAGGACTTACTTCAAATTTCAGTTGCTTCCTGGAGCCTATGCGTGTGTCACTTTCTTTTTCTGCTTTCTTTTCATCTCCACTGAAAACTCTATCTGTCTTCTCTGGAGGCAAAGCCACTGCAAAAATATATTTAAGAAAAAAACGCGTATAAAGAAATGTCAAAGCAAGTCTTATATTTGCAAATCTGTCTTTATATTTAGGGTGAAAGTGATTTCAGCAAACTTGCATGAGAGGATCATTATACTTGATTTGCTTTTGTGTTCACTACACATCTGGGATAATTTCAGCAATCTACCAACAGCTTTTTGTACACAGCCTCTCCTATGAACATCACTAGAGTCACAGGAAGTTCAAACACAGTATTATGAGAATAGAAATCAGCAGAGCTGTTACCGTAAATAAGTTGAATAATTTGCAAAATATTGAAAGCTTGTGACATATTGCAAAAACATACTACATTCACCAGCAATGAAGAAAGAAGCTGAAATGAAGTCCTCGTTCTGTTCCAATTTCCCTCTTCAAACACAAATTTTACTGCCTTCCAAAAAGGTAACACTACCTGCCAAAAAGGTTAAACTGACTTTTTTCAAGTACACACAAAAAAGTATATCTCACCTAAGTTTCAAGTTAAAACATTATGCACTCCTAAAGAGCATCAATATTAACATCTATCAGACATATATCACAACATATCATAACACGCACCAGACATGTAACAGAAATAAATATATAAATATATATTTTTTTCTCATGTGGCTTAAAAAACAAATGCCCAGGAAATTAATAGCTGTGCTTTGGCTCCTGAACAGGCACTCAGCCTTGGCATAATAAAACCCTATATCTGAAGAAAATTCATTTTATGTTAATTAGCATTACAAAAATATACACAGATTTTTTAACCTGACTCTCAAGCCTTTTAGATACAAAATTTTTTTTTTTTAGACATCCACATACATCTACCAACAATGTTATGTCCATACTTCTTTAGGACTATCAGTAATCCTGCCCAATCCCCCAAAACCAGAAAATATGTGGGTCTTAAATGGAGCATTTTTTCTCTTGCACTGCAGCTTTACCTAATGCTATGTATGCTATGTAGAAATCCCTTCTTGGGGAAGCCTTTGTAAGTGAGATCTCATGTAAGTGCCGGTTCAGTAAAGTCAGATTCCCTAAAAAAAAAGGAGACCAGAGCCCCTCCAGTCAGGAGGACCCATTTCAAACTGGGCTTACTCTGTGGTTCTCCTATGTTTGGAACTACCAAGGTGCCTCTCAAGCATTCTTCCAGGAAAGCAAGTCACTAACATGACAGAAATTAAGATATTATATTAGCCAATTTTCAGTGTTTTTTTCCTCATTTAAAACTGAACAAATTTCTTAGGAAAAAAAAAAAAAACCTAACCTTACCATACATTTATACTCCCCGAAATTCCAAAAGCTAAGGATTCTACCACAATTTTCACATTGCCATGCTACAATATATAATTACATCTTCCCCAGTCTTTGTTTAAATTTACTATTGTATTGCTTTTTCTTTCTGTCTTTTTTTTTTTTTATTATTTTTTCAAAACTGTGGTATACTATCAAAGATTCTGGATGTGCAGTAAAGCAAAGGGGGTGTGAGGTAGAAACACTGACCTTCGTAACTCCCCGCTTTGATACGTATTTGCAGTTTGGAGGTGATACTAACACCAGCTCCCCAAGTTTTGAGGTGATACTACCACCAGCTCCCCAACACACACACAAGCGGCACTGTACGAATGCGAGCAGACACAGCGTTTATTACACACATACTGACACACTGATACACTCTGATTTTCACTCCAAGCTGTGCTAGGATTCCCTGCACCAAGCATAAGCTAAGCAGGAAGGTCACCTGAAGGAAAAGAAAGCTCACTTCATGGTCGTTTCTTCCCTCGTCCTTTTAAGCTGGTGTTATCAGATAAGCAGGGACCGTTTCTCCAAAGGTTTTTGTAGAGTGTTTATCATAATGAAGGCTCATATTAAAATAAATATTACTTACAGTACAGAACTTTTAAGTGTACCCGAAGAATGGCTATTTGTTTAATATTCACTTTGGCCATAAATACAATTCTATATTCCTGGAAGTCCAAAAGCTAAGGCCACAAAAAGACCCTCATAAAACAAAAGACGTTTTGTTATCTACCATAGTCTAGCCTTGTCGTTTCTTTCTAAAATCAAGAAATAAAAAGGTAACATGGGCCTTCATAACAAGGACAGTTCTATCGAGGGTGGTTCTTTGTAACTATTAAATACGCCCCTAGATTTACAGTGGCTCATCTGTACCAGTGATCAGTTTCTCACAACAGTTCTACCTAAGCTGTTAGAAACTTCTGTATGAGAGACTTTTGCAGTCCCTCACAATCTTGCTCTAGGAAACATGAAATAAATTAAAGCTGGGCTAGTATGACCCCTAGCTTTGTTGGAACAGTGGACACCCAATTAACTAAAAAAAAAACAAAATCCACCCCTGTTATCACACATACTTTTCAATATATGAAGGTACATAATGGTCAAAAGAATCCTAAAGTGTTTTTTATCTGTTAAAGGACAGTCTCCCAAGTGACACTGCCATTGAGGAGCAGATCCTGAACAAAGTGACTGCTCCCTGCCCCAATGCTCTTTGCTGGGTTTTTCTGTCAAAATGAAGCATCCTACAGAGCATTCTCTCCATTCCACTACCATCCTCTTGCACTGTGCTGAAAGCTGCTGGTACATGCAGAGTACCAGAGTTCCCGAGTCCACAGGGTGCTTCAGAGAGGAATGGCTCAGAGCTACCTTCTGGTTCCAAGAACAGCCCTTCCACTGGCACGTTTAATAACCTTTCTGGATGTACAGTTTGTGTGTTCAGATAGGAAGCTTTCACTTTAATGTATAATTTATGTAACAGAGGAAAAAACGTGCTCTGACAAATTAGTCTTCTCAAAAAACAAGAGTTGAACTATTGGGGAAGGAGGGGATACATCCTGCAGTACTCTCCTTGAGACAGTTTAAATACTGTATGCCAGAAATTATCCTCTTTGAGCTTTGCTGACCTTTGATCTGAAGAACTCATTGGCCTTGCTGCTCTGGGGAATTATCCTTTGAAATCAGTTACTCATTTTGGAGCTCAGATGAAATGGGGAAATCTGGTGATCTCATCCTGATGTCAAGATTCATTCAGCAAAGAAAAATGAAATCTAAATGAGGAAACTTTAAAGGGGAATATGGAGGTATTAAAATAATATTTACAAGTTATCAAATAATGTGTCTGTGTATATATCCTTGTGTGCCTTAACCCAACCAAATGAATATTTAAAAATACATACTGGAGCACAACTGTTTTGTCTGAGAAGAGAAGGATAAGTGTTTGGTATTTTGCTTCTATACTTAGTTTTGACTATTGACATGTGCTCAATTTCATGAAGGATACAAACACATGCTGAACCTACCTATAAATAAAATGAGAATGTCTGCTTGGGACAGTTAGAACTGGCAGCCTGTAAACAGAGATCCTCCAGTGAGCTGCATGCCAAGGTTCAGATATATTTACAATGTGAACTTCCTTTCAGCTCTGCCAATGGTACTAAACTAGACCCAACAAGATAGCTATCTCAAAGTAGTGTGGAGAATTAATAGACTTGTGTTTCTAAAGTCTAGGCCATCAGCAATAGGTCCACATACAAAACATCATCTGTGCAAAGCCAATTACTTACCTCCCCACTTAGACAACAAGTCCTGACAAAAAGAATGTGCTATATAGATGAGTGCACAGAGAAATCTATGGGAATCCACAACTGGAGGAAAAAAAATAAATGGATATTTATTGCTTCTCATGGGAATATCCATATGCTTTCAAAAACAATGTTCCCTAACAGAATGTTTCATGAATTGAAATATTGCATATGTTTTCTTTACGATGTTCTCTTTTCTTGTTCATTATTAATGGTCTTGTATTCACTTCTGTAACCTTAACACACTATAAAAATGCGCCTGGACAATATTTGAAATTGGAAAGACAATAAAGGAAAAATTTTAACTTGGAAAAATTGTGAAATACCATTATTTCATGAAAAACAAACTGACTGGCTTAAGTGTACTAGCAGATGTTTCTCTCTAAGATCGTTAATTACTGTCACTGCTCATAATTGAGGTGGGGGAGGAAGAACGGGAGAGAATGAACACCAGTTTAAAGGTAATAAGACTCATCCCTGAAGAATTAAGTCGTCTTTTCAGGAGTTTATTCATTCCTAAGAAAAGAAGGGTGTAGCAATTCCAACTGCTCCTTAGGAATCACAAAAAAAAAAAAAAAAAATCCCAGAAATTATGTAAAACTGCTTGCTGTGCTGTGTGTGTCAAATGAGCCCAGAATACCAAACCTCAGAGAGCCAAACCATTCTTCAGTCACTTCCACCCTGCACCCGAGAATAAGGGGGGGGGAAACCAGAACCAAACCAGAGCTGCGGTCAGGTGGAAAAATGACCGTTTAAACTCTCACCCTGTCTCAAGTGGCTTGTCATGTCAGATTTCTCAAAGCCTTGTCCAAGCAGAGCACCATGCTCTTTAACAAATGATATTTCTTCTCAAAGGAAAGACAGTTTCACCGTTTTTCAACTGTACTTAGCATTTTAGTCAGATGGATTAAGAGGATACAGGGGCCAGAAACAAAAAAGGATGCAACTCTGATGAATGCTCAGGTCTAAGGTACAGCTACCAAGTCCAAATCTGCACTGCAATTAGGAGAACTCGGGCTAAAGATGAAGTATTTCAGAGCCTCATTGGCATGACAGCCATTCTGAAAGGTATGTGATGGATCACAGGGCCTTAACTCCAAAAGCAGAACAATGGGAGAAGTTATGCAATTCCACAGTGATAAATTATAACTGGACATTAGCAGTGACTATTAGCTTAACATCAGGGTCATTTCTGTGTAACTTTTGACAGAAAGCAGAGAAAAGGTATAACTGGAGAACTGACAAAAATGCCACCTATGAAAGTCAGCATTTGGCATACATGAAACCAAACCCTTTTAAGTGAAATATTATTATCCTTCTTCTTGAGTCAGACAGGCTGGATTCCACGGCAATTCTTTAAAGCTACTACCAGAAACAAAGGGACA